TGTCATAAAAATCCTTAATACCAAACAATGCTAAATCCAAATCATAGTTAAATTCTTTTAACATATGAGTTACAAAGTTACAATCTCCTTACATAAAAGTAGAATTTCCAAGAATGTAAACAATGTGGAGATATATTTTCAGTAATAAAGAGTTTGGTAAATATGCCAATTCCCCAAACACAGTTAAGTTTCTTCCTTGTATCATTCCACCCTACACCTCTGATAATCATAAAGCAAGCCCAGCAATGTTATTGGCACAAAAATATCAACAAGATAAAAATATAATTTCCCTATGGGGTAATCAGGCATTTCAGTTTTCCTTTTCTTCCTCTAAATGTCACCTCAAACGCTTTCAAGAGTGAAATCCAAACACATAAAGGTTGACTACAGTAACTTTGATTATGTGTCATCATGTCAGTGTTAACTGTTAGGGATCACATAGATATATTTTCTCTAGAATGATCTTTCTCCAAGTTGGTCCTTTCAGGTCTTCTAACAGTGTAGGCATTGCCATTGTAATTGACTTCATCTACCTTGTTGCTGGTTGTCCTCTTCTTTTTTGTCCTTCCATCTTTCTCAGATTTATAGACTTCTCCAAAAAGCTATTATAGATCTTCACTTACTGTCTCCAAAATATGATACCTTGATCCTGGTCATACATCCCTTGAGTAAGAATTCTGGAGTGATTTCTTCTATTATATATTTGTTTCCTTACCTGTCCAGTATTATCCAACACCAAAGTTCAAAAGCATTAATAATTTTCTATCCTGCTTCTTCAAGGCCAGCTTTCACTTCTATATAGTGTCATGGGGAATACCATGATCTGCATGATTCTGATTTTCATAGATATGGCCACATCCTGGTGTTTGAATACGTTTTCCAAAGCCTTCACTGCTATCTTATCAAGTGTCGTATATCTTGACTGCTGGTTCCTTTACTGTTTTTAGTCAACTGTAAATGGTAAAAGCTATTCAACACTTTAATATTCTCATTAGCAACTCTAAGGCTGGTTGCTGTATCTGTTTAGATTAGTTGGGCTTCTATATATTTAAATTCAGTCCCATTTTTTCACTATGCTCTTTAACTTTCATTACAGAGTTAGCAGCACATTTTCATTTCACAGTAGTGTTATCAGCATAGCACAGGTTATTGATTTTTCATCCTCGAGTGTTAAAACTACACTCATCTTCCAATCAAGCTTCTCTTAAACTGAGCATAAGGGTTGAATAAATAAGGGGTAAACCCTTGTCTCATTACTTTACCTATCTGAGCCAGTCTGTTTTTCCATGTACCATGCAGACTGTGGTATCCTGGCCTGTTTATATCACCAGCCTGCCACTTGCACAAGGACTATCTGTGCACACTGACCCACCACTCACATGGCCCAGTTCCCCTCTTCCTTCCCCAGTCAGACAGCAAAAGTTGGGGACTGCTGGTATAATATAGATTATCACTATAGCAAGAAAAAAAACCTGCATTTATTTATTTATTTATTTATTTATTTATTTATTTAGCATAACTCCTGTAAGTTCACAGTTTTACAATTAAATCTGAAGTCAAGGAAAATTTTTAAAAAAGAAACCAATAAGAAAGAGACAGACAGGATAAGGTCCATAGATGAAATATCTTCAGTATATTTTATTGTTCAAAGATATTAGTTTAACTATTGTACCCAGCCCTAATTTAATAAAAGAATCGAAGACTGATGAAGCCCTGTTGCATTCCAAATAATATTGGTGTTTCACATTAATGGCATTACTCAGTTAGGTAATGAAACATCTGCAAGCGAAAACCAAGTTCAGAAAAGATAAAGAATTTCACAGTTCAACTCTGAGTTACAGATATTCTCTTCTATCCATTGAATTGCCATGCCACCAAATTCACATTTAAGTAGTGTATTAATCAGAATGTCACTATTTTGAAAAATGCTATTATTCCCACAATCTACTAAGAAAGTTCCTCAGTTAGAAATTGACACAACATTAATTTAGTGCAAGATTTATACTTGATAAATCTAATCTAACATTTAATAATCTTCACATTGTTTTCAAGACATTTGTATAATGATTGCTTTTTTTATCTGCTTTACAATTTTCTCAATTCACACTGGCTTGGATTATCTTAAAAAATAGAGTAACCGCCTTCCTCCCATCCTCTAGAATTTCATCCCTTCTCCGTGATTTTTCAAGAACGATACCATTTGTTCTTGAACCACAATTTCATTCATTCAGGATGTTAGACTTCAATTTGTTTTATCTTGAAGTTCTCAATACATTTCCGGAAATAGCTATTCCTTGACTTCTATGGCTAACAGCAGTGAGAGTTGTAATCTGACAGATGCTGAAGGCATCAGACTGGGGAAGGCTGGTTTTGACTAACCATTTACCCAAGATTGAAGCATTGAAGAATGTCAAATACAGGTCAGCCAGCATGCTGGCTAGGAGAATTATAGGAGCTGAAGTCCACACATCTTAATGTTGCGGAATTTTAGAAATGGTGCTTCAGAATGTTGAAGTTTAACTCTGACAGAATCAGTTGTGAAAAGGAAAATGTAACTTCCTTCACTTGATCTTAATCATCTTACTTCTTTATCCCAGCAGATGAAAACTTTCCAGGGAGCTATTGATTATTAATAAATTGTAAAATCTTACTAGCAATAGGGATGAAATCATTTCTTCAGAAATCTGGAGAAATTATAGAAATTACCTTTGACACTTTCAATGCTGCCTGAACAAACATAGTTTTAATAACATTTTTTTTTTTTTGAGAGGGACAACCCTTGCAGCTATTTGTCTTTAATATTTGTATATCTGCAGCCCACTAGAGGGAACTGCTGGCTCTCTGAAGAGGGAGAGTTGTGAGCAGAGAAAAACCAAGTTCTTTGGCTGCAAAATGCACTCTTTGTTCCTTGTGTGAAATCAACAAGGTGAGCAAGTGGTTGTCAGTTATCCATTTCCAATGAGTGTCCTTATACTCGCCCCCCCCCCACACGTTCCCCTATAACCTCACTCATATAACCCTTTCTCTCTGCTCTCCACCTTGTTTTCCCAAATGTCTCTTACTTTTCTCTCCTTCCTTCTGCACCTCCATCCTTTTCCCCACTTTATACCTCCTACTCTCCACCTCATTATGATGATTCAAATAGGTGTACCACCCTGTTTTATGCCTTCCTGGCCAATCGGCTTTTCTACCTTCTCCTTTGTTCTGATTTTATGCCCACCCATTCTTTGAACTCCCCATTTACCTCACTATCTACTCTTTTCAATTGTTTTTATCTATTTTGTAGCACTGCACTTATTATACACATATTATGCAGATATTCAAGTGACAAAGTAAACAGACATGGATGTGATAGTGACAGGCATACATTATTCTGATTCTGCACAGGAAAAGAAATCCTGAAAGGTCTTTTTGTGCTGCAATGTAACTCTTTCTTTTATCCAATCAGAATCATCTATAAGGCTTGTCCAATGCCCCATAACTCATCAATATTGTCCTTTTTGCTGCCTTTTCAATTAAAGGAGCCTATTGCCATTCTTTAGGATATATGATTATTTCTCTGATAAATTACTGTAAAATATTGCTCTACAGGGCAGGAAATTTCCTTTTGACAAAGTGTCCCTCTGTACAACTTGAATTCTGCTCTCCCTGGTGCCACCATTGTAATTTCCCACAACACCTCAGAATTTTGTTACAGATGCTGCATTGTAGAAAATTACTGTGTCAGCTAGACTCAGGTTCCCAATGCTGCTTAGAGTGTTGGGGCTAACCCTATTTTTTTTAAAAGACCAGAGGACAGGACGACTATCAGCAATGGATTCTACTGAATCCCAAATCTCAGCAACACGTCCAAGATATGAAGTGCACTATTACATGTGATAACAAGGATGGATCAAAACAGTAGAACAAAAAACATAGTGGGGTGTTTATTTTTTTTCTTATCCTACCAACAGTGGTCAGGTGACAAGACAGACTGAACTCTCTATGGTAATAAGAACTTCTAATGGGATCCCATATTATCTCTCCCTCTCTCTCTCTCTTTCTTGCTATTTGTGTATTTCAACTGCATGTAACACCCCTGGTTTAGGACTAGGGTCCTGGTACAGCCTGCATACGTCTATTAATTGAAAGAGCAATCTTCTACAATAGGATAACTCTTTTCAAAGAATAGTTTCAAGTAGTCACCATTCGGTCCAGTTCAGGGGTGGGTTCCACGTACCTTTACTACCGGTTCACAATGGGAGCGCTCATGCACGCACTTCTGTGCATGCACAGAAGCTTCTGCATATGTGCAGATCGTCCATGATAACATCCGGGCAGGTGGCCGGAGTCTCCCGCTGCCATTACTACTGGTTCGCAAGAACCAGACCGAACCAGGAGCAACCCACCACTGGTCCAGTTGCTTGCAAACTAAGAATAGAGGACATGTGGAAAAGCTGTTCTCTATCAGCAACTGATCCTTGGTCTGGTATTGAAATATAAGCTTACAGTCAGGCTCTCTATTTGTTTTACTAGCCGCACTTCACATCTTACATAAAACAGACATTGTATAGTTTCACTGAATCCCATAACCTTGCCTGAAAGTAAGCGTTACTGAACTAAATGGAGCTGATTTCTGAATAATCACAATTAGGATTGAATTGATAAAATAAAACCAATGCCCCCTTTTAACTAGCGAAGTGAACAGATCATTTTAAAATATAAAAGTCAAATTTGTTTTTTGAGAATGTTGATGTAGCTTGTATGAGATTTAAAGTAGTCTTAAAATACTCAGCATTAGTAGCATTAAATGACGTAAAGGAATACTGTGTGTGTGTGCGCGCACGTGTGCACATATAGCTGTCAGAGGCCTTTATGTCTGAGTGAAAACATTTAAAGCTCCAATACAAAACAGGAAAAGGAAACCATTTGGTCCAAGTCTTCAAACTCAACCTTATTTCTTTTGTTGTTGTTGTTGCAAAGCATTTTTGTTCCTCTCTTTCCTGTCTGTTTGTCAACAGATGTATGCCGGAGGGAAGCTGCTCTTTGGAAGCTGTGTTTTCAACGGATACAGCTACAGTAAGAAGGACCTGATGAAACAGATCAACCAAGTTTGCTTTGACTGCAAAAGAGGTCACTTCCTGCCTCAGAGCTTCAAATTTAGGTAAAACAGAAAATTAAGGCGGAAAGTAAGAATGGGGAGAGGGAAGGCAATAGCATGCTGAGATGTATGTTTACAACATTTACTTGACAAGAATGTGTTGCAGTGAAAGGAATGAAATTCCATAAACTCATTGTCGGGTGAGTGACCAGGAGTAGAGGAGGAGGAGGGGGATAACAGTAGTAATAATTTGATTGCATATTCTTTCTTGTTATGGTTACTGGTTTTAAAAATTGGTCTCTGAACAAATTCAGAACTTAATTTATAAAAATATTCTTCTTGTTACTTCTTGCATCAACTAATTTACAATTTTGTCAAATCTTCTTTCCAAGAAGACTTCTTGAGGTGATTCTCCCTATACTTTTTATATCTACTCTGGCTACCTTTCCCCTTGGCATAGGAAATAATAATTGCATTCTTATAGTCACATGGCACAGAAACAATGTTCATATACATTGTTTAAGGCACCCACCTAGAAAGTAAACGACCGTGAGTCCTGCTTTTGCCATGAAAGCCAGCTGGGTGATCTTGAAACAGTCACTCTCTCTTAGCCCAGCTCACTTTGTAGGGTTCTGGTTGTGGGGGAAATAGGAGGAGGAAGATGTGTGGGATATGTTTGCCACCTTGAGTTATTTGTAAGAAATAATAAGGGCGAGATGCAAATAAATAAATAAATAAAAAGTAAAAAGCAAGTTGCTCAGTCCGTGAGACAACCTGTATCCTTATTTTTCAACTACATCAATTATACCAGCTACACCAGCAGCCGTACAACTTTTCAGCACTCGTGAAATGTAAGAGATTATTTGCATCACATTTTTTCTTGGGTACTAATGATTATAACCTTCCTGTCCAAAGTAGTATTCAATTTGATTCTTTAAAAGGCTGGCTGCCTCTGTGAAAGGAATTTTTTTGGGCAGTGTTATCTTTTACCCTTGGGATGCCTGAATGCCAGTAGGCAATTGGGGAAGGCTCCTTTCCTGTCCCTATGTGGTTTGTTCGCTCACGGGAATTGAGCCACCAAGCTGCCGATCTCAGCAGAACGCAGGCTCAGCATCTTACCATGTGAGCTGCCGCAGCCCCGGATTCTTTAATATCTCACTACTATGTATGACTAAGAGAGAGAAAAGCAAAGGATATGGGGTAGAGTTGCAGTTGCAGCTGCCATTTTGACTTTTATTTTACCTCCATGGATGCCCCTGAGTCTGGGGAAGAAGCAGAAAAGGACAGGTAATCTGCTCCTATTTAACCTGGCAAATCTGCTGCAGGCTGGCTTCCCTCCCTCCAATCCCCGGATATAGTGACTTGCCATTTTCCCTTGGTTGAGAGAGAAATTGCCTATCCAGCTTCCACAATCTCTTCTCCCACCCACCCCCCAATTAGAATTTAACCTAGTGGGGTCAACATAGCCATGGAAACAGTGCATTCCTGAGGAAGGCATCCTTCAAAAACGGAGATCAAAAATGTCTTGTGCTTGCCTCACTACCATAATATCACTCTAATAGCGCAGCTATCTTATTATTTTCATTGAGCAGGATAGTTTCACACAACCATCCCCATGTTGATACAGTCAGGATGATGAGACAGCATTTTAGGTGTCCCTCACCCACATTCAAACTCTCTTTCATACCAATGAAACTTCCTTTGCCGCCTTGATCCAACTTGATGGGCACCTGCAATGTAATTAACATCCAGGTTAGCCTTTTCATCTACCAAAATCACATTGAAATGGCAGCAGCTTTAGCTTAGAAATATAAAAAGTATCTGAAAAAGAAAGAAAAACCAGAGAGTTTGCCTCACTGTGGTCAAGTAACAAAGATTTTATGGGTAAGGAAATAAAAGGGGAACCAAAAAAGGGGAACAAGGCAGAGGGGAAAAAAAAACCCAAACTTGTCTCTTACCTGCTCCAAGCAAATTTTTGTTGTTGTGTTTATTGATCTTCATGGGATTCTCTCTATGCCATAAACAAACCTTAGTACGGTATTAATCAGATAACAACAAGTGCTTCTGAAACTGACTTCACATAGGAATTTGAAGAGTGAAAACTTCATAATTAAGAGAGAAGCCATTTTGTTCCATTCATTCTGAATATAGTGTTGATCTAATATTCTAGAAAGTAGGTATTTGTAGGCAGGACACACAGAACTCAGGAAAAGAAGTTACAGTTTGTGGGCATGATGCTGTGAGTCTGTTCTGTTCTGTTTTTATTTTTTAATAGAATTTTGTTATTACTAACTCTTTTATGATTGTTATTACTGACTGAGTCAAAAATTCCAGGAATCAGTAAATTCTCTACTGATAACAAGATTCCTCAGTGTGAACTGGAGAAAAGAGGAAGCATTTTATGTGTCACCGGAATTTGCTTGTAATTTTGTTAACATTTACTGATGGAGAACATCAAAATAACTAGGAAACCAGGAAGCATTTCTGTACCCTTGTTTGCAACTATTCATTCTCTCTGTGCAATAGTCTCAGCGCAAAAAAAAAAAAAAGAGAGAGCAGGGAATTGATGGCTTTTCTTGCTGGCATTTTCCAAGGTCATAAGTTCTCAGAGCTTTTTATGTCTGGTTTACATTTAAAAAAAGATGCTACCAGTGTGATCTTGTTTCTAAAAGTAATTTAAGTAGTCAAATACGCGGCATAGATGCTAGAATCATCATCCTCTTTTAACCACCCCATAATCCCTTGTGAGGTGAAGTCTGGGCAACTGAGTGGAGCTGAGTGTTTACTGGCTGGATGCCCTTCCTGTCACCAATGCGGAGTTATATTCAGCCAGATATATTCTCAGTGTGCCCAGAGAGAGAAATAACTGCCTTTACCTAGGATCAAACTCACAGCCTCCTGATTATGAGGTAAGAGCACTGCACTGCTCACAGAGATGTTAAAATGGTCTGGGCTATTTAGCATGAAGTAGAGTTTGTAAATTTCCTTCTAGGCACTGCATCTGATGACCATTATCAAATGTTTAGACATTTTGGTTTGTAATGCTAATTTAATAAGTGCCAGTTGAAGTATGGCAGGGGCCTCAGTTTAATATAGCACACGTCAGGGATGGGTTCTACTTACCTTTACTACCGGTTCGCAATGGGACCACACACGCATGCACAGAAACTTCCTGATGACGTCTGGGACGGTGGGCGGAGTCTCCTGCCAATTTTACTGCCGGTTCTTGTGAATCGGTCCAAACTGGTGGCAACCCACCACTGGCATAGACACTTCCAACCATGATTTAGCTGCAATTTGCCAAGCCTCAGCTCAGGAAAAAATGCTGCAAACTATCTTTGCTGAGTTTGTTCTGTAAAACAATTCAGTTTACAGGGATGTAGGAAGAGGGAATGATTCTGAACTTAAACTGGAACAGCCTTTGTGTATGGAAGGAATCCTGGAGTTAAGCACTTGACCTAAATTAGAGAGTACCATAAGTATCTATATCTGGGTAGGGCAAAGAATGAATAAAGAGTTGTCAACTGTTTTGGAAAATTTGCAAAAATATAGATGACTACGATCATTTATGCTTCCTTCTTTGTAGAGATACTAATAAAGAAAAACTGGCAATGGCAGAGCAACAGTGAATGACTTACAGGATTTAAGTTAATGTTTTTGGAAGGTAATGCTTTCATTGAGCTGAGAATCGGAAATAACTTCAATTATATGATCCATCAAAGAGAAGTGTGTTAAGGTTTTTTTTAACAAAACAAAACCCAAGAGGAGTAGGAAAAAATCAGAGTAATAAATTAGCATCTTGTGAATCCCTCTGCATTAACATGGCCCAACTTAAGTTGAGAGTAATGGTCTCAGTTTGACCAGTGACTCTGAAGCACATGTAAATGCAGGAGCTACATTTGCTGCTTTCCAATGTGAGCTGCCTGAGATTCAGGGCAGGATTCAGGCCTGATAGATAGGGTGCATTGACATAGCAAAGGAATTCTAGAAAGCAGCAGAAAGTAAAGTATGTGCATTCAAAGGTCAGCCAGACAAATCTCTCACATTACCTTTCAGGAAAAGTTGAAGGTAGTTGACTCTATTACAGGGAGGGCAGCTTTAAGAATCCTTTTGTTTGCTTAGATTATTAAATGTTTCTGGTGCATAATTAATATCCTTCTTGCTAAAACAAGGCAGATCACAGGAGTTAGGAAGAGATGTACCCACAAGCATTTCATTGGAAATAAAATAGGAAAAACCAAAGGTGGTGACTAAATGATAAACATATTCAGATTAGTCATGTCATCCTGTAAGTTATTCCATTTCTTTCCTCTCTTCCCAGGTTTTCAATTTCCCTCAAATTAGCTGATATGTTTTATCCCCTGATTTTTTCCTCACTTCTTACTTAACTGTGGGGTGTTTTGGTATATTTTCTCTTATTAGAGGTTTCCATCCCAATGCTATGTTCTGTGTAAACCTCCTTATGGAGATGTCAAGATCCATACATACTATTAGAATATCGGATATGGATGTTTATATACTCCTTCCTTGCTGGAGGCATTAATCTGGACCATCTTAACTTTTAAAGACATATTTCAGAGCCATAGCTCTAGGATAATATAGGTTTCCCAATTGCAAGAGCACTGTAATTATTGTAGCCAAATGAACTAACCAAAACAGCAATGAAACTAGTTGTTTCTAATTTGCAGCTAATATGAAACTTTAAAAGAGAATCCAGTTACATACTCTAATTTATAATTCTATAATCATTAGATTTATATTTACGAGAGAGAGAGAGAGGGAGGGAGGGAGGGAGGGAGGGAAGAAGGAAGAGAGAGAGAGAGAACGAACTGGAGGATTTCAGGGTAGTATTAATATGGCAAAGCATTTTCTTTAGGAATGGATTGTTTATTTAGCAGTATTCAGAACTGCTAGCAGTATTCAGAATATATATTTATATGGTCTATGACTTTTTGCTCTGATTTTATGTAGGTGGATGCTAGCAAGTCTACTAGAAATCTTTTTAAAATTAATTGTGGCCTTCAAGAAAATGTCAACCTCAAATTGTCATAGAGTGAATATAC